GCCGTGTCCTCTGGGATGCTGCTCCTCTCCTCCAGGACCCCTCTCAGGAGCTGCCTGCCTCTGGGGATGCCGGCACAGCCTTCTCCCTGTTCTGCTGATGTCCAAGTAGCTCACAGAATCACAGAATGGGTTGGAAGGGACCTTAAAGATCATCCCGTTCCAACCCCCATCGCACCAGCCCAGACTTTCCACCAAAGGCAGTTTTCTCCAGCTGGAACGTTAAATCCGAGTTCAGCTTAGTGACTCGTGCCTGGAGCTACGAGATCTCCGCTGCCCCAACTGCGAAACGGAGGGGCGTTGGCTGATCCGTCTCACGGGAAACAATTCCCACAGACAGAGGCCGAGGGCTGATGCCTGAGGGCTCCTTCAACATCTCTTCACACACTATGGCAGCTTGGAGGCGGCCCAGGGAAGCTGAAGCTGGCAGCTACGGGCAAACCTCCAGCCCTGCTGCGGTGGGAGCACGGGCGTTGCAGACCTCGAGATGATGCTGAGGTGTGAGGATGATGCCGAGAGGTGAGGATGACGTCAAGAGGTGAGGATGATGCTGCAGAGAGGCGAGATCTTGGGGACAATGACAGATGTATCATTGTCCAGCTTTTTCCCTAAGGAAGGCACTGGTTGTCCAGTCAGCCCCAGATGAACCCTGCCAGCCCCAAATCTGAATCGGAGGTGAAACCAAGAAGAGCAGGAGGAGCGTTTTCACCCTCCTCTCCCCTGCCTCGGTCCCACCAGCAGCACATAGCTCCCTCCAGCCATCTCCAGCCCAGCCAGGAGGTCTCTGCTGGGCAGGAGCCCTCAGCTCCCCTGGATCTCAGGTTCGCACCGTACCCCATGCCTACGGAGCCCCTCCAAGCTGGAGATCATGTCCAGGAGAGCAGGTCAACCTGCCTGCAGCACGGTGGTCCCATCTCCCCTCCAGGACCCAGAGGATGTGTCTGAAGGGCACGGCCAGGACCCAGCTCAGCGTCACCCTCCAAAGCCCAAGGTGAGCACAGAAAGACAGGTTCCTGAGGACACTGGAAGCCACCAGCCATCTCCTGCAGCCATGATTTGTCCTGGAGTTGGTCCAGGACAGTTAAAATCAGAATCTCAGGGTGGAGAAATTGCAAAAAATCTGTGTCAATCTGGACCAGTTTTAAAAGAGGAATCTGGGAAGTGCTCAAGGATGAGCATTGCAGTTATGGAAGAGGTGAAGTTTCACCTCACCTTCACATCCCAGAGCTGTCCCGGGCCAGATGTGAAGCTGAAGGCAGCTGGGAATGGACACAACTTCTCACAGAGATTGCACCTTGCAGTTCTTGAGTCCCGCCAGGAATAATAAATAAAGGAAACAACTTCAATCTCTATGTCCTTCCCCACAGCTCCCCCTCCATGCCCATAGGGGGTGGTTACAGAGGGTCCCAGACGGAGGTGCAGAGGTCCCACCTCCTTTTTTTGTGAGGACTGAAGAGCTCCTCATTGTCAACCCACAGCAACTTGGGCTTCCCTACCTGGCCTCCTCCTGGATTTGGTGGCCAGAGACCACGCTCAGTCCTCACCTCTGCTCCATGCAGGTCTTCCCACAGCACAAGGGGACCCAGCACCCCCGTTTCCCGCCCCCTCGCTGGCTCAGCTTGCAACCACGCAAGGGGCTGCACCCCAAACCCTGCTTTGCTTTTGTTGCACAACACGGTGCATGTCTTGCTTCGTGGTGCCAAGGTAGCAACACCAAGTCTCTCCTCCCCATCCCACTACCAGCACCTCTCTGGTCCCAGAAGATGCTGTTCCCACCCATGGGAAGTCGTGTTTGCTAAGATACGTGGCTTTTCCCTCCTCGCCTTTGTCACCCTGGAGAAATTTCCGGCTTAAAGGACATCTTGAAGATGCACAAGGAATGCAACCTGCACACACCTGTGGGAATTTTCTGCTGGAGCACGACCACTTCCCAGCCTCCCTCTGACCACGTCACCTCACCGAGAACTTTGCTTAACCCCTTTGGAAGCGTTGCCCATGTCATACCTCTGTGAGGGTGGAGGGGAAGGTGACCTCGTGCAGGTGGAACTGGGGCACGCACTGGAAGGTGACGGTCAGCACGACACCCAGGCAGCCCAGGTGCAGGCGAGCAGCCTGGAAGATGTCAGCATTGATGGACTCGGAGCACTCCAGGATCTCCCCTGCGGCCGTCAGCAGCGTGAGTGCGACGACCTGCCGAGGGAAGCGATGCTTCCGTGAGCGTTCATTGTGTCCCATCTCCATGCCAAGACCTTGCATCCACCCCAAAAATAAAGGTTAAGAGCTAAGAAGGGAGACCGCCAGAGCATGGCCATCATCAGAGGGTGCTTTCTGCTGAGCTTGGCTCCACCAGCCCCTCTCCTGCCACCTTGGACGTAGAGACATAAAAGGATCCTTCTCTCTCTAGGGGATGCTGGGAAGAGCCATCAAATTAAGTAGTAAAACTCTGACAAATTACTTCTCTTCTCCAGAGCCATCAGTGGAATCACCATACAGGGTTTGAGCTAGAGTGGAAGACTTTCATAGGCTACAGATAGACCTGGGACATGCTAAGGGCAGTGCCAGAGCCACCATGAGACATCCCATGCTAAAATCTCACCAGTGGTTGACACCCATTTGCTTGGATAACTCATTACTTGGGGTTAAAACCATCTCCGGAGCCCAGAAACCTCCTAAGACAGCCCTTGAGATCATCCTTGGGCGAGATGACCTTTAAAGGTCTCTAAGCACAGGAACAGAGGAGTTTTGAGGTAGATTATGTTTCGGCTGGCAGAGGAGAGACGTGGTTGGACCTGGCAGTGCAAGACTAACCATTCGGTTCAGTGACCTAAAAGAGTTTTTTTCCAGCCTAAATGGTTCTAGGATTCTAGAAAGAGGTCTCACTGTGCATGGGGCGCTTGGGGGTGCCCCACAGCAGCTCCATCCTAGGGGGATAGGACCCTCCTGCTGTGCTCCCCAGGGCTGGACACACCAGACCAGGTGACGGGACGTGTCTGAAGCCCTCAGGATGGTGATGTCCCTGCATGGGCATGCTCCCAACTTGGGCCTCACCTGGGTAGAGAGGATGCCATGCTTGATCCCGGTGTTGTGCGTCCCTGTCCCGATCACACCAGCTGCTGCCACCTCAGAAACAGCTCCTAAACTGGGGGTGGATGAAGAAGCTGGGTGAGGACTTCAGTTCATGGTTCATGGCATGGAGCATAACCCACCGTGACAGGTGTTACACCACGTGCAGATCCCACACAGAGACCTCCAGGACATGTCCCCCTGCCCCAATTAGAAGAGTCTTCCACCCTTCAGGGTACCCTGCGGCAACGAGTGTGTTTGCACATCTCCGTGGGACATGAAGATCTCCGTGGGACATGTACATCTCCGTGGGACAGATGCTGCTACAGTCCATGGGGAGGGAGAGACGTCACCATGGAAAGCTCAGCAGTGTCCTGTCTTACAAGTGCCCATCTCTTCCCTTCAGCCTGGAGTGATCCACTGGGGTGGAGACATCCCTCCCACCAGAGCAAGGGGTTTACCTCAGAAACGTCACTGAGGAGCAGGACTGGGAGCAGCAGCCACAAGCTACCAACAGCATCCTGGGCTGGGTTAGAAGGGGAGTAGCTGGTAGGTCAGAGAGGTTCTCCTGCCCCTCTGCTCTGCCCTGGTGAGGCCACACCTGGAATGTTGTGTCCAGTTCTGGGCCCCTCAGCTCCAGAGGGACAGGGAACTGCTGGAGAGAGTCCAGCGCAGCCCCGGGGATGATGGAGGGATGGAACATCTCCCTGGGGAGGAAAGGCTGAAGGAGCTGGGGCTCTGCAGCTGGAGAAGAGGAGCCTGAGGGGTGACCTCACTCCTGGTTATAAATATGTCAAGGGGGAGTGTCAGGAGGATGGAGCCAGGCTCTGCTCAGGGATGTCCAATGACAGGACAAGGGCTAACGGGTGCAAGCTGGAACACAGGAGGTTCCATGTAAACAGGAGGAAAAACTTTTTCACTGTGAGGGTGACAGATCAGCTACTCCATTGTGGACCTGCAGTCTGCAGGACCCTAGTTTGGAGACAAGCTCCCCTATTTTGCCCTAAAATCTGTTCACACACCCCTGTTTGACCATGTCTCAGGGACAGGCCATGTCCCAGGGATGGCCCCGCGCACGTGTCCCACTCACTTGGCCAGGGCCAGCCCGTGCTTGCTCAGCTTGACATTCAGATCCGAGAGGAAAATTCCACCTTCCACCGTCACTTGCTGCTTCTCCTTGTCCACCTGCCAAGGATGGGATGGGAGAGGGGAAAGTCACACAGATCAGAGGAGAAACATCCCACGGAAGTGTCTATTAAATGTCCATGCAGAAGAGCCAGGTACCACGAGGAACGTGCTCCATCTCTCTCAGACCCTCACCCAACCCAACCCAACCCTCATCCAACCCCCAACGAATCCAATGGTGCTGCTGGGTCCTGCCCCTCATCCAGACCCTGCACCCCTCTGCTCTCCTCAGTCTCAGCGGTGTGTAACATCTCCCATAGCTTCTCCCAGGTGTTGTCAATGCAAGGGAGAAGCCAACCCACCAGCAAAGCTCTACCTCCAGCAAACTTCTTCACTCTGGCCTCCTGCCCTGCTCAGCCAACTCCTCATGGAAGGAGAGGTAATTCCCTTCAGGAGCTACCCATCCTGTTTCTGACACAAAGAGCTGCCACACAGGGAGACACTTCTTAATTCATTATTGCTGTTAATTGCCAGTAATGCTCCAGCTCTCCGAAAGTGCTGCCAGAGTCGGGGTTTTTTCGTCTTCAGCTGCACACATACACCAACACGTGCATGTATCTGCACAAATGCACACGTCCCCTCGAGGTGACCCTGCCAGAGACCTCCTCCCCACCCAGGTGACCACGCTGCGATGACGACAACACACTAAAGCACACTAAGAAGAATTCTTTGCTTTTTTATAGCTCCCAGAAGCTGGTCTCACCTTGAGGATCCTGTTCATCTTGCCCATCTGGATCATGAAGTCATCGGTGCAGGCGATGTCTGAAGGAGAGTGACCTCCCCCCACCACCTTCACCCTCTTGTTCCGCTGCCTGGCCATATCCAGGATCTGCAGAGACAACGGGTGGCCCTTGAGCATCCGACATCTCCCTCAGAGCTGAGTGCTAAGGGTGGTGCCAGAGCGACTGCAGGATGTCACTGGCTAAAATCTCACCCATGGGTGACATCATTTTACCTGAATAATTCCTCATCTGGGGTTAAAACCACCCCTAGAGCCCAGAAACCTCCTAAGACAGCTCTTGAGATCATCCTTGGGGTTTGGACCAGACAACCTTTAAAGGTTTCTTCCAATACAAACCATTCTACGATCCCAAAAGAGGCGATGTCTACCTGAGACAGCCTAGGGTGACAAAAGGGACACAGGCTTGTTGACATGGCAGCTGGGGCAGGCAGGTGACCCCAGAAGGAAGTCAGATGCTGATACCCAAGGAAGAGAGTCCATTTGGGGCCAGATGTGCTGGTTTTCTGCATCTTTCAGGTGTTCAACACTTCCGCTGGAGGACACACACAGAACAGTAAGATGGGCCATCTCCTCAGGCTAAGGGAAGGACTTGTGTTGTCACCAGCTGTGACCCCTCTGACTGAACAGGATGGAACATCACAGCCCTTCCTGGCCTTTCCTTCTCTTCATTTCTCATGGGTTGTCTCCTGGAAGCGCCCTCCTTACCTCCCGGATCTCTTCCACGGAGGTGGGCTGGAAGTACAGCTCTGGAGAGGAGCCATAGGTCTTGGCCCAGTTCTGGAACTTGACTCCTCCTTGACCATGAACCTGGACCAAAAACAAGAGCTAAAGCAGAAGGAAGAGAGATCCCCCCCTGCTTTTCCACAACTCCAACCTTCACCTACCAAAGTTTCCAAAATATTTCCAAAAGGATTAATTTGTGGACACGGACGTTCATCTCAGCTCCTTGAGGATGACTAGAACCAGTTTAGGACCTGCCTCCAAACTCAACCATCCACCCCGAGATGCTGTCCCCAGGCCTGGCATGAGGGGGTGCAGCCGAACACCCCAGCCTCATCCCACTTCCAGGCAGGGGTTAACCTAAGGCAGGACACCCCCAGGGTGCTTCGGGTGGGTCCTGGCTGGGGAGGACAGTTTCTCTCTGCCCTGGGGCTTGGGCAAGGAAGGACCTGGCTTGATTTTGGGCACCAAGCCCCAGAGAAGATGATGAATCCTCTAGCCCCAGGCAGGACTAGCCCCAACTGCTGCCCCACCGACACAACCCACCCCACCTTGGCTGCAGGGGATGATTTATTCCCGTGCCAGCCCTTTTGGTCTCCCTCCCCTTTCCTCCAGCCTCCTCTCCACCAGCCAACCCTCTGCCTCCCCACCCAGCCTGCCCTCAACTCCTTTTTCTTCTCCACATCTCCACGAATGGGGTCTACTCCCATCCAAAGAGTGGAACCCCCAAACTGGCCAAACTCCTCCAGGAAAGGGGGTGTCCTAGGAGTGTCTGCAGCATCTTTCCTCTCCACTCCCTCCCCCGGGTGCTTTAGGGTTGGGCAGGGCCAGTGGATGGCCCATCAATCTGGAGCCAGGGCCATCAGGAAGCTATTGCAGATAGCCCAGATAGCAGCAAGGATTCCTCAGGGGCAAGGAGGAGGTGGGACTGGAGTTGCCACCCCCCAGGCAAGTGAAAATCCGGAGCTGGTTTGTAAGCCGAGGTACAGAGTGGGAGAGACAGGGAAAAATGGGGAAAAAAAATTTTAAAAAAAGAGGAAAATGGGTTAGAAAATAGTCCTGCTCATCAGCCAGAGCCTGACCTGACTTATCCAGGGAATCTCACAGAATCACAGAATTGGTGAGGCTGGAAAAGCCAAGAATATCCAAGAATAATTAAACTGCATCACCTCAATCACGGCGGGGGGGCTCTGCCCTGCCTGGACCACCTTTCCCACCCCCAAAAAACCTGAGGAATTCCCTTTTTGGCCTTTCCTTACCATCCCTGAGATGCTCCTGGAGCCAGTGGGACTCCGGTACCGGGGATAAGGGGAGATTCTGGCCCGTCCAAGCTTGGCAGAACTTGTTTCTGTCCTGTGGGTCCCGGAGGAGCTTCTCTCCGGGCTGGAAGGATAATGAGTAACAGCCCTTCCCTTGTGATTTGGAGGAGGAGGAGGAGAGGAGGGGGGATGAACCCTTGGCTCCCAGCTGGCCAAGCGTGATCCAGGCACGGGTTTGAACCCGCATCCCACGGAGATGCTGGTTTGGGGAAGAAGATGCTTCAGGGCATTTTTTTTTTTTGGAGGGGGGAGGGAGGATTGGGGAGAAGCTGATTCTGGGGTCCTTTTGCACCGGGCAAGCTCGGGGGGCAAGGGAAAAGACCCTGCCCGATCTGGGGGGACCCAGCCTCGCTGCATCGCATCGCCTCATGCGAAGTGGGCAATGGGGGGGTTTTTTGCTCCCTGCCTTGCAGGGACGGGGGTGCCCCATGCCTTGCACCCCAAATTTGCTCAGCTGTCCCACCGGGCAGCAGGGACACGCACACAGAGGTTCTGGGTGATGGGGCTGACGTGAAGGACGGGTGAGGAGCAGCGGGTTTGCAGGAGCTCTGCAGCTCTGGGTGGCGGCGCTTTGGTGATAAGCAAACCCTCCCCGGTCCCTCATCAAAGAGGGGATGATAAGGATTTTTTTTCTGAGCCGGCTAATTGGGGCAAGGTGACCTCCAGCAGGCAGGGACCCACCTCTGCTGCGGGCAGCTGCCTGCACCAGACCTAGGGATGCTCTGGGAGCCCTAACCTTCCAAAAAAATTTTTAAAAAATCCTTTTTTATCACAGAGCAAGAGCTGTGCGAAGGGCTTTGCAGCACCTCCAGCAGCTTCTTCCACAGGTCTTCACAGCCACCTTCAGAACTGCTTGACCTTTCCGACCAGCCTGAAACCCTGCTCGTGTTTTCCTGCCTTGCAACGGCAGCAAATTAATGAATAATCCTCCCCCACACCCTGGAGCCCAGCAAGGCTCCACGGCTTCCCCGCCACCGGCTCTGGGTCCAAGTGGTGTACAAAGGTCATCAAAACCTCCCAAAAAAGCCCAACCAAACCTCGAGGAATTATTCATTAACAGGGAGGGGTGAAGGCGATACAGGAGGGGAGGGGATGCGGCTCTACCCGCACGGCCTCAGATTGCAACGAGTTGCCGGATTGCAACGATTTCCGCAAGTGCAATAATCCCCCAAATTGCAGCGAGTTCCCAAATTGCAGCGAGTTCCCAAATTGCAATGAGTGAGTTCTCAAATTGCAGTGAGTGAGTTCCCAAATTGCAATGGTTTCCTAAATTTCACCAAGCTCCCAAATTGCAATGATTTCCCAAATTGCAATGATTTCCCAAATTGCAAGGAGTTCCCAAATCACAAGGAGTTCCCATATTGCGAGGAGTTCCCAAATTGTGAGGAGTTCCCAAATTGCAATGATTTCCCAAATTGCAAGGAGTTCCCAAATTGCAAGGAGTTCCCAAATTGCACCGGGCTCCCAAGTTATGAGGAGTTCCCAAATTGCAATAATTTCCCAAATTGCAAGGAGTTCCCAAATCACAAGGAGTTCCCAAATTGCACTAAGCTCCCAAACTGCAGTGAGCTCCCAAACTGTTCCCAAACTGCAGAATTCCCACATTGGCGGGAAGGCAGGCACAGGGAGCCTCCCTTGCTGCTGTGCTGGAGGGGTGAGGCCCTGCCTCCCAGCCCTGTACAAGAGCAGGGACATGGGGTTTGCCCCAAAATCTGCCTTGTGGCTGGAGCCTCCTCACTGTCCCCCACCCGCTGCGCTGCTCCCCAGAGCTGCCTCCACTTGGAAGGGGTCCCAGAGCTGCTACTCTCCTTAGCGATGGGGAAACTGAGGCAGGAGTGCTTTGCTGAGGGTCTCTGAGTGCTGAGAGCCAGGCAGAAATCAGGTCAGGGTTTGGTGGTTTTTTTGGTCTCTTCGCCTCCATTTTAAACTCAAACAGTTTAAATTTAATTATGGGCAAATTTCATTCTTTGTTTCTCCATCTGCAAAGGTTGTTAGTTTTTCGTTTTCCCCTTTTCTTCTCTTTTTTCCCAGTCGTTTCCATTTCAAAACCACTGAGCAATGGCTGCAGGAGGGGAGGAGAGGACCCGCTTGGGACCAGGGAGATGTTTTCCCTTCATTCTCACCGCAGCCAAGAATCCCACCACCCAGCATCCCAGCACCCATGGGTGCCTCACAGTCTTTGGGGGAAAAGACGATTAAAATCAGAGGAAAATAGTGTGTTTCCAGGGGTTGGGGTGTTTTTTTTTGACCCAGGTGGGTTGGGATCCCCAGCGGGGCTGGAGGTGGTGTTGACGCTGCAATTTGTGCCACGTATTGGCCCCAGAGGGACCTTCACCCTTGCACCCAGCAAATGGGGAATCCTCAGTCCCAGCAAGGCTGAAATATTAACCAGCACCCCTGGGGCGAAGCCGGAGCTGGCCCAGAGTCCAGGGCTGGGTTGAAGTTTAACCAGATTTAACCAGGTGCCATCAGGCTCGGTGG